AGAATCGGAAAAGAGGAAGAAGTAGAAGAAGAATAAAAAGTAGAATTAAAGAGATTTTGGTATTTGAGGTTTGGTGGAGTCTTTTCCTATTCCCTTTTAGGTTTTCAAGGCACTAATTGCATGCAATTACTTTGCCATCTGGCAGGCAAGAGTGAAATAAATTCTTTTATTTAAGTTAATTTACGATTTAAGTTTTATTTAATTTTAGTATTCTATTTAACCACTAATTTTATTAATATCTTATTAAATTAAATTTTTTTTATTTTACTTAATTATTTAAGTTAAAATTTATTTGTACATTAAATAGATTTATAAATATTTTTATTTTTAATACATAAAATTGCTATATATAATATTTATTTATTATTTTATTAAGTGYGCCTCACTTCACTCAGACGACGCCTTTTTGTCGCCTCTCGCCTTAAGGCGATAACGAGGCTCGTCGCCTTGAGGTGCGCCTTGTGCCTTGAAAACACTGCATCCTTCTCAAAGTTCTTTATCAAGACCATATAAGCATTGGCTTCTTATGTGCCTCTCTGGTTGGCTCTTCCCTCTAGCAAACTCTTCTTAAGCCACCTCCGATGGAAAATAAGCTACAACGTTGTTTCATTCAAGCATGTTTCCCCTGTCAACCTAACACCCTTCACTTGAGTAAAATTTGGTCATTAAACTCTTTCTTTGGTGAAGCCATCCACTTGGCTCATCGAACAATTTGGGTTTTCTTTGTATATCCGTGAATATCCGAACTAACTTGCGCGCACCTCAACTAATATCATAGGACAATTGTCTGACGCTACTACAATTGGTTGCCAAGGAAATTAGGAAACACATAGGAAATTAATTCCTACGTAGGTGGCCATTATAGGATTTGAACTCATTCCTATAAATCCTTTTGATTTACCTTGGCCCATCTAGACCAATGAACCAACCCATGATGGTTCTTTATGGAAAGTAACTCATTCTCTCGGGCTACTACTCTTTTGGGTTATCCTCTCAAGCACAATTGCAAACTTAAACTCCCTGCATGGACGGGCAAAAGAAACACACTCCATACATTATGGACGCTTCTTTAGGGAAAGTAACTCATTCTCTCGAGCTACCACCCTTTTTGCTCAGCTGGCTCTAACTTGCCAAGAAGTCCAACTCATATAGACTCTTTGTTGCTCAGCTGGCTTTAACCTTTTTTATTGGAAACCATACTTTTGTAGAGAAAATGAAAGGATATACAACAGGGTGATGGAACTAGCCCGAAACGAAGGGAGCCAAGACAAAAAAGGCAAAAGCCTCAGAGAAAAGTTAATGGTTCAAAATAAATAAATAATAATTACTAAATTCTTATCATCTCCCCTTTTTTGTAACTACTCTTTGATAACGAAAGTCTAGTTTCTTATCAAAAAAAAAAAAAAAAAACTAAATTCTTTAGTCACAGACACCCAAAGGGAGGTGCTGAACTTGAACCTAACCGAAGACAAAATTTCCCAAGATATCTCCACCCCCCAAAAGTTCCCCAATTTCTACTGAGTCAGATATATCAAAAAGATAGCTAGAAAGGCAGTCAATGGCTTTTTGGCATTGTATCCATTGACATTTCCCCTGGCATCAATGGCTCTTTCGTAAGCACTCAACCACTAAGTCTGTCTAATGCCAAATTCCATATTTTTGCTTATATGCAGGTGACAACTACTTGCACAAAGGACAGGATGAATCTCAAGCATGTGTGCATATACACACAAAAGCTTGCACCTCAAACAACTAATTCTTAATATTTGAAATAACAGAAAACTAAATATGTTACCTCAGAAAAGTCAGAAAATACATTCATGAAATTTAAAAACGGAGTTCCTATGTAAAAAGATTTTGAAAACAGTATCTACATTTCCATAAATGCCAAACAGCTGCATCATTCGTTCAAAGAAGCAAGTCATAAACTCTTAAACTTTATCCAACCTTGCTAATCTACCCTGCTTCCCTCGCTCAGAATACCTTCATAAGTAAAAATAATCAAACTGCCGTGATGGTAAATGACAGATGGAAAATTTCCAAGATCTCCAAAATCTTTCTACCATAGAATTTAAGATCTGGGTACTAAAACTCTGAAAATCTATTACTATAAGTCTTTTCCGGTTCACAAACCTTCAGCCCAGTAGCATACATATGGCGAATCAATGACCAGATGCTGGTTTACAAAATGAAAAAGGAGAGGAAACTATGTATTATATATTATTTTATAAGAAACAATTTCATTGATGATATGAAATTTACAAAAGGGATAAAACTCAATCCAAGGGAGTTACATCAAACTTCTCCCGTCGGATGAAAAGCTATAGTAATGAAAAAGGGAACATTTACACCATATAATAACCAAAAAACTACAACTATAGCATCAAAAAATCGGTCAAAGAGCATTCGTGGCTTTGAATATCCTTTGGATTCATTCTTGCCAAGTGACCCAAAATTTCCAAGAACTCCAAAATCTCTAATATTGAAATAAAAAATCCAGTTCCGAAATTCAACGGCTCCTCATCGCGTAGACATTATGCTGCCTTCACATTATCAAACACGCGTCAGCCCCATCGAACATAAACTATATAAAGTTTTAAAAGATGCTCCCCCGATTAAAGACAAATCACAATTCCTCTATGCCCGAAACAACTCAAATTCGTAGGTCGGACAATCAATTCGGCCGGGAAAAGTTATTCAAACAAAAAGAGAAACTAACAAAATAACACAAATTTGGGCATCATCCAAACAGAAAAACTCTCATCCTGGAGTTCAATTATAACGATCTCTCGCGTAATGGGCAACGAGAAGGCAATAAAAGAGATATGGAACTGACCCGGGGATCTTATCAACCTCGAATTCGACGCCATCTCTAGCCAATACGAAAAGCTCGTTCGTGAAGGGAACGGGCATCCCATTTGGAAATAGATTAGGGTTGAGAGCCATGGAAGTTCGGAAGTGAGCCCCGGCCTACGAAGACGCGAGATTAAAACTCAGCCCTCTGCCAACTTCCACGACCTTCTGGACCAATTCCTTGCAACAGGCAGAACCTTCCGGAATGGTGGATTTTTGCGGGAACGAAGTTCTTCTCGAAGAAAATTGGATAAACTCTGGGCCGGTTACAAATACGGCAAACCCAGTGATCAAGGGATAAAAGATTGATTTAAACATCAAATAAATTATAAAAATACTTTTATGTTATATATTTCTTGGGAAAATGGACAAAATAAACCTTCTATAAAGACCTTTTGAGTTTTTTTAATCATCCTTTTCAAAACATAAATTTTACAGGCATTTGCTGACATCATCTTCACACCAAATGATCCTTACTATCCCTCCACTAATATTTTAGACTTCCCTCCTGATTTCCTTTCTCTACCTTCATCTCCCTCTTTTTACAGATTTTTTTTTTCTTATCGTTTTTCATTATTCTCTTTTCCTCTTCCACAAAGTTTTTTTTCTCATTCTCTCTAAAATTTTCTTCGAGTCTCTCTTTTCCTTCTTCCATATTTCTATATTTTTTCTAATTACTATTATTCTCTTTCTTCTTTACTGACCACAAAAAGCAATTTACTTTTAAAAAAACCCCTAAATCTTTGAGCTTTTTTATTTTTAAAACCAGCAGCCTCCATGGTTCCCGTGACTTCGTTGACGACGGCTGCATCAAAGCCGACGAAGGAAGTCATTCGCCGAAGAAAGAAGCTCAGTGGAAGAGGAATGGGGGAGGAGATAAAGAGAGAGAGCGAGGGTGAGCGAGATCGAGAGTGAGCGAGATCGAGAGTGAGCGAGAGCGAGGGTGAGCGAGAGCGAGGGTGAGCGAGATCGAGGGTGAGCGAGAGAGAGAGAGATCGAGGGTGAGCGAGAGAGCGAGATCGAGGGAATCTAAAAATAATATTTTTAATGAGATTGTTTTTTTTATAGTATCTAAAAATTAATTTTGAATTAATGTTTATCAAATCAAATTAATTTTGAGAAAAACGGAATCTCAATATTAATTCAAATTGTTTCCCGAAATCTCTCATCAGTCTCTTTAAATCTCTCAATAGTTTTAATTATAATTGAATTTCAAATCTCCCAATTTTGCTTTTCAAATCCCCTAATTTTGCTTTCCCATCTTTCATTCCTAATTTAAATTTTAATCAAATGTATCAATTTAAAATCTAATTAAAAAAGAGATTTTGGGAAACAAATTTGAATTAAATTTCAAATTCGAATACTTTCTTTTTGTAATTAGATTTTAAATTGATATTTTCATTTGATTAAATTTTATATTAGGAATGAAAGAGATGAAAGCAAAATGAGGGGTTTTAATTTAATCCTAATTAAAACTACGTTGAGAGATTTAATGAGATTGAGAATAGATTTCGGGAAACAAATTTGAATTAATATTGAGATAGTATTTTTAGATTCCTTCAATTCTCGCTCAACCTCGCTCTCTCTCGCTCAACCTCGCTCCCCCATTCCTCTTCCACTGATCTTCTTTCTTCGGCGAACGACCTCTTCGTCGGCTTTGATGCATCCATCGTCAGTCACGGGAATCATGGAGGAAAAAAAATTACTGAAAAAATAGAGAAAGAGGGAAGATGGAAAAGAGAAACTCCAAGAAAATTTTAGGGAGAATGAGAAAAAAAAATTACGATAAGAAAACAGAGAGGAGGAAAAAAAATCTGGAAAAAGAGGGAGATGGAGGTAGAGAGAGGAAATAAGGAGAGAAATCTGAAATATTAGTGGAGGAGAGAGAAGAGAGATGAAGTCTGGAAGAGAAAAAAAAGTAAGGAGGGCATGGGAGGTCATTTGTCGAAGTTGATGATGTCAGCAGTGACTAGAAAACTTGTGTTTTGAGAAGGACGATTAAAAAACTTAAGAGACCCTTACAGAAGGCTTATTTTGTCCATTTTTCCATATTCTTCTTCCTAACTCTAATTTTGATATTTTATGTCAATGTACTAAAAAAAAAAATTAAAGGTAATGATGATATGTAGACTTAAAAAGACACATAAAAGACTTATGTAGCTTGAAATAGCTCAGTAGTAAATGTCATCTATCACACAACTCATGACTTTTTGGTCAGAGATAGGTGCATTAACCACTTGAACTATGCTCGGTTTGGCTACAAGATTCTTGACTTTGACCGAACACTTACCATACTTTTGATACCTACCTTAGTTCTGAAAATTTTTATTTAATTTACATTTATTTTGTTATTATTTTAAAATCTACATTTATTTAATTTCTTTACCAGTGGTGAGGAAGGGACTGTATTAACAATAGTCAGTGTAGGTTCCAAGTTTCCCATGGAGTTATTTCTTTTTCTTTGAGAAGTCAAGTTTGAGAGTGAGAGACGAGAGGGTGAGAATAGGAGTCGAGAGGGAGGAAAGGAAAAATCGGAGGGAGGGAACTATGAAGGGCTTCTAATTGAAGAAGAAGCCGTTGATTTTATTATGGGGATTTTTTTTTAAATAATGTAATTTAAAAAAAACAACAAAAATAGGATAGTTTTCAAACTAATTTCAAAAGTGGGGTAGCCGTACACGATTTAGCAAACTGGACGCGAATTCGATAAACTCGTATGCAATTCACACGAGTTGTGTCAGCTGATGTGGCTCCAATGACGCATAGCTGGAGCCACGTGCGTTGTAGAAAATTAAATCGTGTACAATGCACACGATTTCACCAAACTTGTGTACAAAGCACACGAGTTCTGTCCCCACCCCACCACTCTCACACCTCTCATTTTTAAACCAAAAACACTAATTCTCTCTCTCTCTTCCTCTCCTCTCTCAACTCAATCAGTATCGCACTACCATTCGTTGCCGCTGTTGCACCAGTTGTTGCCGTCGCACTACCTCTAGGTGAAAACGTGTACAGAGGGAACTCGTGTACAGTAGCACAATTTTTCTTCTTCTGGTGCATCTTCATCTGGTGTAGTAACAGGAAATGATGAGCAGAATGTTGAGCATGTTGATCTTGATAATCAGCAATACACATCTTCTTCAGGTGCAAGCACACCATCAACAGCAGGTAATGCAGTAGATACTAATGACCAATATCAAATTCCACCCTCTCCAAATGACTTTAGAGATCTGATGTTATGCATTATAATAGTTCTCATGTTGAACAAAATTCTTTGGAGAATTATCAACCAACAAGAGATAGGAAGAGGAGAACTATTAGGCCTCCAACTCGTTATGAAGCAGATGTGGTTATGTACTCTTTAAATTGTGAAAAGGAAGAGTTAAGTGGCCCGAGTGATAACTTGAATGGTTTAGAACCTAATTCTTTTGATGAAGCAATTAAAAGTGTTGATAAGTATTTATGGTTGGAAGCAATAAACAATGAGATGACTTCATTGTATAACAATGACACTTGGATACTAGTTGATAAACCAGCAGATCAGAAATTGGTAGATTGTCGCTGGATTTTTCGAGTAAGGAATTAAAGGAGAGAAACCTAGATATAAAGCTAGGTTGGTAGCGAAGGGGTTTACTCAACAACAAGGAGTTGACTATAATGAGATTTTTTCTCCAGTGGTACGTCATACTTCTATTCGAGTACTACTGTCATTAGTAGTTCAATTTAACCTTGAGCTTGAGCAAACAGATGTTACTACAACTTTTCCTCATGGAGATTTAGAAGAAAAGATATATATGCACCAACTCCCTGGTTTTGTTAACAAAGGTAAGGAGGATCAAGTTTGCTTCTTGTAACGTTCATTGTATGGATTGTAACAATCACCTCGCTAGTGGTATAAACATTTTGATAGTTTCATGTTAAAAAGTAATTTTAGAAGAAGCATATATGACATCTGTGTTTATATCAAGAGAATGTCCAAGGAAGTGTCAGTATATCTTCTACTTTATGTAGATGAATGTTAATAGCTTCTCAACAATCTTCACAAATTGAGAACTTAAAGCGTTTGTTGAGCCACAATTTCAAGATGAAAGATTTAGGACCGACAGAAAAATACTTGGAATGGAAATTCAAAGGAATCGAGCTAAGAATACTCTATTTTTGGCTCAGAAGGACTATCTTGGAAAGGTTGTTAAAAGGTTTAACATGGAAAATGCCAAAGGAGTTAAGGTACCAGTTGCTTAACATTTCTGTTTGTCCAAAGATTAGTCACCCAAGTCTGATGCAGAATTAAAACAGATGGCTCTAATTCCATATTCAAATGTTGTTGGTAGTTTGATGTATGGGTTGATTTGTACTCGACCTGACATTGCTTTTGCAATGAGTGTTGTGAGTCGACTCATGAGTAATTCAGGAAAAACTCACTGGGAAGCAGTAAAATGGGTGCTTCGGTTTTTTAAGACAAGTCACAAATATGGTTTAGTGTATTCAAAATTTGATGATTGCCCTGAAATTCAGATTTGTTGATGTTGATTTTGCAGCAGACTTTGACAAAAAGAGATCTACATTCGGGTATGTTTTTACTCTTTTTAGAAATACTATTAGCTGGCGATCATCTCTTCAATCTGTGGTTGCTTTGTCAACAATTGAGTATGAGTATATAGCTATTGCTGATTCTTTGAAAGAGGCTGTTTGTTTGTCTGGTTTAGTTAATGACTTGCTTGGTTATGATGTTCATCCATATATATATATTGTGATAGTCAAAGTGTTATTGCTTTGACAAAGAACTAGATGTTTCATGATCGAACTAAACATATTGATATAAAATATCATTATGTTAGAGAAACAGTAGCAGCCAAACAAGTTACACTAAAGAAGATTCAATCTGTGGATAATCCTGCTGATATGCTTACAAAATCAATGTCAAATGCAAGATTGTTATATTTCTGCTGCCTATTAAAAATAGGCATTGGCTGATTCACTTTTTGCTTCTATAGTCTAGTTCAGATTTCTTAGCCTTTATGTTTTTTGATATTTTTTGCTGAAGTGTCATGAGGGTGATTTGTGGATATTGACATGTCAGCAGCTTTATACTCAAGAATTTTCCAGCTTGACATTTTTCTACTAGCTCATGTGAAGTCTTCCAGCTCATATTATTCTTTATTCTTTTGTTATGTATTTACGTGGGTGTAAAAGGAGTGGCACTGATATTGAAAACTGAATAAAAACAGAGTGTGAGTGGAATAATGTTCAAGAGAGAGTTTGGGAGAGAATGCTCTTGGGTTGGTGAGGGTGCA